ATTGTTTCCCACAAGGTCGAGCTATTCTCCAAACAGAAACTTATAATTAAGGCATACGGGTAGTTGGAGGGTGAGGTTGGGACCACAAGGGGTTTACAGAAATTGTTTGCAAATGAGTACTGTTCAGAGTACAGTTTACCAAAGCAAAACATTGTGTAATGTGCAGTATGCCCTCTTAAATAGGACATCTTTTTGCAAATGGTGCGTTAGATATACTGTAGATGTTTCACTGAGAAGAGTTTGTCATGTGCTTGTGTCTGCCTGAACTGGCTCGCAGGCTTTGTTCCTTTTAATACTAAAGAGAGACTTTGAGACAATTAAACCTAATCTCACTCGTTAATTAGTGTAATTCCTGCTCTGAAACCAATTTATCAGAATCATTCCCCACTTGTGTAAAGTAAATTTTACTTTTGCACTGTTAATTTTACAGTGAAAATAATACATCATTAATTATATTAGTTGTACAAAAAACACTTTTCACTTGAACAGAAGTTTCGTAGCTTATGCAAATTTGAGAACTTTCTGACTTCACTGCTGTTACCTTAAATAAATAAAGCAGAGCAGCCTGTAAGAGGAAAAAAAAAAGAGAAAACTGCTGAGCAGGGATTTCCATCTACATTTATGTCATGGTAACCTATTAGCAAGATGCAAAATGTCAGAGCCTCACAAGTGATTGGATTACTTTGATTTTGACAAAACCTAATTTACTTACAGGTACATTGATATTAAGTTTTACGAAACATTGCCCGGCCCGGGGTCAGCCACTGCTGAAGAGAGATGTAGTAAAGATAAGGAGGCATGGATTGTCTGTTCTAATATATACACAATATATGGGTATAGCACTGCAAATTCATAGTCATGTTAACAGTGTGAGTTTAGGGATGTCAGTGTTGGTCTGTTGATCTGTCAGTATTTCAACATCTATTGTATGGATTACTATTACTATTTTATTTTTACAGACATTTGTTGTCCCAGAGGATGATTCCTACTGACTTTGGTGATCCTCTAACCTTTCCTCTAGAGCATGACATTTTTGTACTTTAGTGAAATCACTCTGTGATTTGTATCAACTTCGATGATCCCTCAACTAGGCTCATCATGGGATCCTTACTGCAACAGCCTGGGTTTAAATCCGGTGCAGGCCCTTTGCTGCATGTCATCCCCTCTCTCTCGTAAATATTATGCCAACTAACTCATTCCTTCAAGTCTCTCATAACTCATAAGAAACTAGTTGGATAAACTAATCTTCAATCATGGCCAAACAATAACACAGAACCATTAGAGAGTTGAATAATAACAGGTTAATAGACATACAGTTTTAATGGAACTGTGTATTGTGAGAGGAAATATGGGCACAGACCTGGAACAGTGTAGTACTAAACTCCCATAATCACTCGTCATTTGCTGTGGCTGTTGTTTGATTAATATACACCCACTAAGCTCACCATTAAGACTGACAATTTGCATCTGGAACGTGGCAATTGCATTCAATTGAAAATAATAAGTCACTCTGAACACAGTTCTTATCTGAGTTACTAGAGGAAGAGAGTGATGCCTTAAATGACACACAAACACAACACTGCAGGATAACACACACAGCTCCTGAGAGGCAGTGAGCATAGAGCTTTGTTCTCATTTTAACATCTGCATCGGCAAATCTGTGCCCGGCTCAGAATTTTGCATTGACATTGTTTTTTGTGATAAAATGTAAATGGGGATTGAAGCCTCTGTTAATTAGACAGGAAGTCCCCGCTGCCAGCCGAAAGAGTCCGGCAGCTTGATGTGGCAATGAAAACATTTTTGACATGAGAGGACAGTCTTTTGCACTTGAAGGTTTCATCACCCTGAAAATTATCATTTGCTTTTGGCATCGCAGCACATCCTGCCTTGTCTTCCTTTAGTATCATCTACTTTACTTTTTTATGGTCTTTTTAGTGCCTAACATGCAGACGTGGGTAGACACGCTTCCATAAATTGCCGTCTCCTTTAGTAACTTGCAATGTGTTTAATCAGAACTTTTGTGACAAAGCGGTGTGAAGCAGAGGCCAGCAGACAAGCTCAATTGATGCCGAGGTAGGCTGATGATGACACAGGCATGATGCAACGGAGATGAGGAGGAGTAGGACAGGAGAGGAGCAGAGAAATGTAGTGATTAGATGTGGGGAGTATTCATTTAGGAAGACAAACAGCTTCATTTAAAGCTGGACAAGCACAGAGACGACCTCTCCTACTCTCAAATGAGTTAGAATTTGCATCTTCTCACTGACGGGGGATCCAATCCTCCTCCTCACTTTCTTATTCTCACATTTAGAGTGATAATAGATTATCCAGGGTCTCGCCTGAAGAGCCACTGATTTGCTTGCGTGCACATTTTCTTTCTGCTTCGGCCAAATTTTTCTGTGCTCTTAATCTGCCGCTGATCTTCACAGCTGTACTTATCTACAGTATATGAGGCTGTGCGCTCTTCTTTTTCTGGCATTTCTGCCTTTATTTTAGACCACAGTGGAGAGCGAGGGGGTGATATGCAGCAAAGGGCCTAGGCCACTGTGATAAGGCCGTTTAACCAGGTGAGCTGTGGGTGCACCTCGTGTAGCCCTGGACTGCATACAGAAACAGCCGAGTGCAGAGATAGCAGTCATTTTACGATTATTACACAGCAGAAATGCCAAACTCGCTACCATTACATTTGATTTCTCCCTATCGCTCACTACCACAATCTGCTGATGGTTTCACAGATGAGTATAAAATTAAAGTTTTGAGCTTGAAAAAAAGCAAACGGATCATGATGATTATCTGCTAAACATTCTCAGAGGCTGTAGATATTTGTGTCTGTGTGGGTGTGGGGAGGTGTCTGTATTGGTGAATATGAAGTTGGATCACTGCCATTATCCCAGAGGATCTGCACCTACGCACTTATTTTAAGGTTTCCACTACACTTGACATACAGTACACACATGCGTTTACACAGATAGTAAATATTTACCACTTGGATACTTGCCTGAATTGCTGGAGGGATTTAACAGCCTGGACGAAACTGTTGTGTTTGACATTTTGTATTTATTAGCCTGGGATATTTTTCAAGGTAAGCATGTATACAGAGTGAGGACTGTATGTGGCTGCTTCAGTGCATGTTTAAACCCTTACGATAGGTATATGACATCTAAATCAAAGTAATTATGCTAACCCGAAACTTGTGCTTTGGACATTTTGTGTCAGTGTGTAACGCAAACTATCAAAAGATCACATGCATGAGCATTACTCCATATATAACAAGTCTGGAGAGTGGTGTCCTGTCTTCCTTCTTGTTTTTTTTTTTTATCTACAAACCTTTAAAGAATGAAAAAACTGTAAAAAAGCTTCTACGACCAAAAGGAAGTCAATCATGGAAGCTATCAGAGTGTATGCTAAATATTACCCAAGATATTCATCAAACTCATTGCTTCTTCTTTCTTTCTAGTCTTTTCTTTTGCAACATTCAGGGAAAATATACAGTTTAAAATTACAACATATGTATGCTAAGCAATAGGTTTATATTAGAATGAAGTATTCTTATCACTAACCAGCTCTAACATATTTAAGACCCATTTTAAATTCTTGTATCAAAAAAAAAGTTAGTCAGAACATTTTTAAAAAATCAGCCAGAGACAGCTACTTCTACCAATGCATGGAGCTAATTAGCTCACTTAGCTAATTAGCTACAGCTGATACAATCTAACCGTGGCAGTTTTTACTTCAAGTTCTAATGTTTGTCCTTCTGAAATCAAGGACCCATTGTTTGAAAAATTACTACAAATTTTAGTGTTTAAATCTGCTACCATTCTCACTGTGAACTGCGTACATGCAGTTATAGATTGGAAAAGTCTGTAGTGTTCTGCTATATCTAAATTAAAATCAGGTTTTGTAGATCATGACCAATCTTGCCTATTATGAAACTGGAATAGATTTACCTCACCTAAGTCACATGTCATATTTTAACATCCAAGTCCTTTTGCTCCATTAGTTAGTTTTTATATGTTTGTCCTAAAAAGTTAACTTTCACGTAATCAGCATTTCACGGCAGGAACATTTACTGCTCAGTGTGTGCAGCTTCCTCTAACAGCACTGTAAAAACCTAGACTGGATTTCATTCCAGCATCACTTGACATTTATTGCACATACTGTATATCTTGACTTGCTGCACCCCCCCCCCCCCCCCCCCCCCCACTACCCCCCCCCCCCCCCCGCCCCCCCCCCCCCCCCCCCCACACACACACACACACACACACACACACACACTCACACACCCTAAATTGTCTGCAAATATTTTTTTCCTTGAAAAGGTGGAGGAGACCCATTTTCCAATTACAGATCTTGTCTTTAGGTGTTAATTGCTGACTGACCTCTGGAGCTGTTGTGGATGCCATGTGGGTTTTTTAATAACCTCTAATCGCGGTGAAACAGAGAGCAGTAATAGAGAAGAGCCAAGCTGCTTTTTAACCCAGCATCCTCCAATAAGGTGTAATCTCATACAAACACAGAAGCCGGCCGTGTGCCAAGTCAAAATGCTCTTTTGCAAACATGAGTCACTGTGATTCATTTTCTTCTGGCATTGAAATGACACACGAAACAAAACACGGTTTTGTTTTGTTTGGGTTGAATTAGGTCAAATTAGGAGAAAAGAGCAGGATGGATTTTATTAAGTTCATTAGCATCTTGGTTTGTAAAAGGGATCCGGTCTTAGATTTCACCTGGGAACATTTGCAGAATGAAAAACATTTAGAGGAGAATTGACTTTAGAGTAATCATGAGTACACCATGTTTTATTGCAGCCATATTGTATGATTGGTCTTTTCACATCAACCTAGATCATTATTGTTCACATTCTCCACAGAATGACGAGCATCCAGGCCAACAGTCGAGGTCTAAAGTGTGCCGAATGAATCAATAAAGACCTTTGCCCTTTCTATCTATATCCTCTATATCCTATATGTGCTGAACTTCTGTGTTTTGTGTGTCTCCAGGCAACCCTCCAGCCACAGGTACTGGCACATTGGTCATCCACCTTGAAGACTACAATGACAACGCCCCCTATGTTGTCCCATCGGTAGCACGAGTATGTGAAGATGCCCATGATATGAACGTGGCCATAGTTGGGGGACGGGACAAGGACCTCCCACCTAACGGCGCACCCTTTAAGATAGAACTGGGAAAACAGCCCGGCATTGACAAAACATGGAAAGTTACCAGGGTCAACTGTGAGTATTTAATTTTCAAAAAAGATTTGTATGCTTTCATGCTCATATGAGCATTTTTAGACAAAATGGAGTTTAATAACAGAGAAATGTATCTATTTAAAAACATCAGGCCATCAGTCGTCAATAAATCTTTCATACAAGAGGCAAAACCTTAAGACCGCACCACAAAACAGGTTTTATGGAACTGTATCTGAGTCACTTCTTTGCTGTTATTATACCCTCACTATTTTTGTTTTCACCAAGAGCTTTAGCCTGTACTCACAGAGTTGCCAAAAAGCACCCAGGGGAGTGTAGGAATAAACATAAATGAAGAAAAAGAAGATGTGAGAGGGGTGAGAGAAAGCTGCCAAAGCACAAAAGTAATTTTACTTGCAAAAATGTTTAAGGGTTAGTACACCTGAATACATTTTTATTTCCTTTTACACATGCTGAATATAGAGCAGAGCAGTCTTAACTGCAGATGCTCATACGGATCACGGGATGATGATGATCAGATGAGGACGCAGAGTGAAATGATACAGGAAGGAAAGGGGGAAGGAGGGAAGAGAATAGACAGACAACCAAGACATTGATTCGGGGTTGCATGACCAACAGCGGTGTCTGTGTGTGTTTGAGTGACAGAGCAGAGCTAAAACCTGCCCAGAGGTATTTGCTGTGACTGACAGCGGGAGAGGGAGGTACAGACACTCCTCAATCACCACTGCTGGAAAAGACAGATAGGGCCAGCAGAGAAAGAGCGCGTTCCAACTGAGATGAACTGCCGCTGTGCTTGTCTCAGCTGTGTGTGCATGAGTCTGTTTATGGCTGTGTGTGTAGAACCAGGAGAGCAGGTTGTTATACCTCGGCAGTATATCTCTTTATAATAATAAGAACAGTTTTGCATGGACTCATGTCCAACAATTGATTTCAGGTCTCTTGTTGTTCAATAATTGGTTCTTTGGACACAAACAGATACAATTAACAGCACGCTATTCAATTGTTTGTTTTTATCAGACAAATCTCACTTTCAATGGCAGGCTTATTCATAGGCATTCACACGCACCCTTAAATTTTGAATCTATACGTGAATCATTCCAAGTGAGTTTTAACATTATGGAACATTAACATTAACATTTAACATTAAACATTATGGACTTACTGTTGATACAGAATCTGAAAGTAAATCAAACTGCAGATACTAAAAACATGAATTATAAACCTCCACTTGTCATTTGCAGCAATGTAAAAGAATTTTAAGCTGAGTGATTTGATGTTTCTTACCCAAATTCACATTGGGAGTAGTGTTCAAAGTCTCTGGATTTATGTATACAGGCTTGTACTTTTGACTCTCTATCAAAGAACCAGATATTTTCCAGTCTCATCTTTAGTATTCAGCTGGGAGAGTTTCATGTCCATCCAAGCACTGCAAGTACCCCAACTACCAGTCCCCTAACGTCATCTATGGAAAAATGAATGAGACTTTTTACTTACGCAACCCTGAGCGAAACATTGCAATTCTGTGGCCCTTACAGTCATCAGATCTCAAACCAAATGAACACCTATGGGAGATTTGGGAGTGTTAAACACCACCACCTCCACCATCATCAAAACACCAAAAGAGGGAAGAATTGTGGTAATCCGTCCAATAGAATAAAGAAACTTGGAATCAATGTCAGCGAGCCCTGAAGCTGTTCTGACATCGTGTGTTGGAGTAAGACCTTAATAAAATACTTAAATTGAATTAAATTTAAATTTCACAATGCATGTGGCTGAAATGTAAAGTGTTATACTTTCACACTATTGAATGATCAGGACATATTCGTTTAGAACACATTCACACATTTATTCAGAAGGGGATCTGTCTGATTGTGCTGAGGTTCGTTGATATGTCACACTGATCAGGGTTTGAAGAAACTTTGAGAAACTCTGCATCTCACATTGCATTCCTGCATTTTCCAAACACACTGATGAGCCAGTGAGGTGGGGGTGATTTGTTCAAAGTGGGGCCTCTGCATTTATTAAATGTTTACTGTTGCTTACTGTTGCCTTGTGACATTGTTTTGAGCGAACTGTTGGACAATATACATTTTGTAATTGAATACAAAACTGAAAGTCACCTAACCTAGAGGTAACAGCCCCGGCAGACGGGTGGAATGTGCAGCTTTGCATTTTGTGACACATTTTAGCACGAAGTGAACTGGCTCGAGTATTTTCTCTTGTGTCTCTTAAGGGTTTTTAAAATGTGATGCAACAAAATGTAACAATCTTATGCAACTTAAGAGGTGCCAATTTTTGTCGCTTCAGTTCTCAGGGATGGCTTTGTACCCAGTTACTTGAGGCATCTAAGTTTTGTGTTATAATTCACATATTTAGTTCTGCTTTGCAAAGTAGGCAGCTGTTAATGCAGAATAGGTGGACAGTAGTTGCAGGATGGGGGATGACTGTCCGTCCACTCCATTAAACCACCCTTTTTCTTTTTGTGTGTCTCCCATAGCCACACACTCCCAAATCATGCTTTTGCACAGTCTGAAGAAAGCCAACTACCAGCTTCCGTTGCTCATCACCGACTCAGGGGTGCCCCCTTTGTTCAACAACACAGAGGTCAAAGTTCAGGTGTGTGTCTGTAAGAAGAATAAGATGCACTGCAGCTCTGCCCACTCTCATCGCGCCAGCCTTCTCGTGCTGCTTGCGACGCTCCTGCTCGCCCTGCTCTGTAAGTACCATCATACCCACAACACACAACAACAGAGATGATGGTTTATTATGCTGGTGTCATTGTTAAAATGGGGGTTAATAGTGAAGTAATGTAGTATGTTACTTTCTATTTGAGAAATCAATAAAAACAAAATGTCTAATTGTACTGACTTTTAGGATAATTTTATTTGAAAGGGAAGCAATTGACTGTACGCATTGAATAGTAAATAGTCATAAGGGTATACGAGTGTCTTTGTGTGCACACTGTTTTCAAACCTTGCATTCATCCCTTGCACTTGCAAAAGTAAGTTTTTTGCATTTCACGTTTCTATATTTTTCCGCCGACATGCCTACAGCACTCCCCAGGAAGCCAAACTTGAATTTACTCTGAATATCTCATTTAAGCCATTAGCAATAGCTTGAATAATTCAGTCTCCTCCATTCACAACACAAATGTAAGGGAGGACGTCCAGCAGCTAGTTTGGTGAGAAGAAAAATCATTTGCAACTTTAAGGTCTCAGATCCTGTTTGCCTGTCTGGGCTTGTTCTCAATAGTTCGTAGTCAGACTTGCTGTACGCCAGAGGTGGGGTACGGTGGTAGGGATGGAGAGAGCGTCACTGAAGAGAAGAAGAAGAGGAGGAGGAGAGTAGCGTGAGGATTAAGGGGGAAAGGAAAGGAAAAGGCGAGTAAAGGAACAGTAGAATCTGATTTTAGGCTTTAAATTTTTAGGATTTAAAAGATGATGTAGTTGATTGATTTCATCCTTTTTTCTTCTAATATGAGTTTGACTGTGAAATGTTAAACTAATCATCAGAAAAATCACAGTCATGTCTCTTTCCAGCTGTCTTTCTTCTCTTTTCTTTGTCTTGTTCTATTGATTATAAAATCTCTTTTCTCGCTCTCTCTCACGTCCCATTGATTCCTCCCGCTTGCATATTTTGACCACTTCCTGTGTCTCATCCATCAGCTCTCTCCGCCACTGTTTTTCCTTCCCCATATGACTTCTCTTGCTCTTTTGCCTTCTCTCTACTTAGCAACCAGACGCACTCCCCTTATAATCCTTTGCTTACAGGCAGAATCTCTGCGCCTCATCTTCTCATTCATTTTCTCTGTATCTGTGAATCACAGCATCGAGCATGACCCATTGATCTTCCTCTGAGTATGGATCAATCTGTGTATTGATGCATATCTTTTCTCCAAGTGCATTCATGGCAGATGACTGTGCTGTGTATGGAAAGGTACACAGTTGTTTGAAGTTGCGCCTTAAAGAACTTATCATTTCGTTCTCTCATGATGCAGTTAGAGCACTTAGTTACCTGCAACTTCTGTTAAAACTCATGATTCACAGGACACAACGTATTAAATTAAACTGACAATGCGTAGCAAGCAGCAGCATAAGAACACCGCACTCCAGTGCTGATAGACCATTAGTCGCGGTTTCACTGCAACACACTAATCATGAGCGTAAGCTGATGCTGTGTCAGCGTTTGCGGGCGAGCAGCCACCTCTCAGAAAGTATTATGGCAGCGAGCCTCAGAGTATCCCAGCTGGAACAGTCAGTTAGATTTTCACACTCTCCTTTTCAGAAATATTTGGTTATCTGCGGTTGCCATGGTAGAAGCCGGAGTGTCTGAACTAGAAAGCATGATAATTGGTTGACATGCCAAGATGACATTAGGAGAGTTTTCTCCACAGATGTCCTTTTACTCTGAACGACGGTAGCATTCATTACTCTACTGTAAATAGTGCAGTGATAGACAAGGGCATTCATTAACCAAATAGCTGCTCCAGATGACAGATTCTTGGTTGTTGGGTTGCCTGGTCCTGCACCCGAGTACATGTCCATTCATCAGGACTGAAGCATGCTTGTGTAGTCAGAACACACGTAACGGTGAGCGGTTTTACCCTGGAGCTAGAGGTTGGAGATTACAGAGTGTGTGTGTGTGTGTGTGTGTGTGTGTGTGTGTGTGTGTGTGTGTGTGTGTGTGTGTGTGTGTGTGTGTGTGTGTGTGTGTGTGTGTGCGCGCGCACGCGCACGCGCACGTTTGGGAATCTCAGACAGTATTACAGCTGGGCAACAGAGGTTCCACTGATTCAGATGCAGAATGTCTCTACACACACACACACACACACACACACACACGAGCGCCCAGAGAGACGACTCCTGCTCGAGCTCATCATAGAGACCTGTGCTGGAGGACAGATAGAGCAGACTGATCACTGCAGCGTATGGTCAGATAGTCTGACAGAGAGGCAGAGAGGATCCTGTTTCAATTCCCTTATCTCCAAGCTGAACTCTGACCCTGCAGGAGAACGATGATGGGAAGAAAAATGGAAAGAGCCTGCGGGAAGGATGTGAAAAGGAGACGAGAATAAAGGTGTGAAGATTAAACTCTTCTGTTTTGTTCTGTTTTTGCCCACTGGGTTACAGGCGTACAGTGTGCAAGGCCACACAGCGGTACAGCAGCTTTCCTAATTTCTCTGGCTCCTTGCTTCTGTATCTTTTTCTTTCTGCCCCCTAGTTCAGCTCCCTTTCTCTCTTAGTCTCCAACTGTCTCATGACCCATGGCGCCCATAAAATTTATATTTTGTTCACCATATTATCATCATCATGGCTGCAAATATACTGAGCTTTTTTAGATGGCATTTTTCAGCATCGCAGCTGCAGTAGTTGCTGGAAATTTCTCACTCAGAAAGCTGCCTGTCTTTATAGAGGTGTCTGCGAGGGGTACATCCTCCATTGTATCCAACAGTACGGTATAATATTCATCTAATATCTCTGTGACCACCATGTCCCACCTTGCCCTCTTATACGACTATTACTGACACTGTCAAATTTGTCAGGTTGTTTTTTTTTGTCTGATGATTTCCAACAGCAGGAGTCGGAGCTCTGCTGTGTGAATGTCCTGCTCACAAACACTGGAGAGCACATAGCCTTATGTTACTGTATATGCTGTATGTAATGACAGAATTCCATGAACGCTCACCTTCTCACAAACAGGTAGCATGAACAGAGTTTAGTAAATCCAACTAGGAACACTCGTATGAGCAGAAGAAAGTAAGATAGTGCTCAGGCAATCTTGTGATCCAAACTTGCCTTGAGGCTCCAGGTATGATGTGTGCAGTTACACACGCTCCGAAATGCAGTCCGACCAAGAAAAACAAGAGGATCTGAAGGGATTTAGCATAAGATTATGAAAATATTCATACATGAGCATCATTGACCTTTTCAATATTTAACCAAAAGCTTCCTTAGCCTTCACCAAGCTGTCTAGTGGCATCAACTAATGGTTCCAAAAGTAGGTACTGTGGGCCCCAAGGGTGCCTCAAGGTTGAGCTAAAGGTGCCACAAGATTAGTCGATTTCAATTTTTTACTTTACATTTTCAAACATTTTAAAATAGATAGAATTAATAAAATAAACATGCCTATTATATTTTAAACGCTGTTAAATATGCTGCTATGCTGCATCTAAAATTACGAATATGACCAGTTGTCATAGTAGCATAGAACGCCTCTCTGTGACTTTGTGTGCACGTTTTCCAGGTGCACAGCAGTTTTAAATGGTGACTGTCAGAGCATCCATCGGAAAGAGTTGTCATTGTAAATGGATATAAAAACAAATGTTGTTACCTTTAAACTTTTAATTCACCCAGAGATGGTCAGTCCTGAGCAACCCGAAAAGAAACTGAAATCAGACTGTAATGTGAAAGTTTCTTAACGTACAGCTTTGTGTGGATAGCAGAAGCAAACTGTCACACAGTGAACTGCTTCATCTGCAGGGAAAAGCTGTCACATGTGGCAGTGGTGCCAAGTAAGCTCAAACCATGAAAAAAAATTCACTATGAAGGGATATCATGGGTTTAAAAAGTTTGGAAAGCACTGAACATGAACGACTCTGTATGTGAACGTCTGTGTCCAGCATCAAAGTCCGTAGGATTTCTGTGCTAAATAAGGATGTCACACAAAAACAAACAAGAAATTGCCAGCGAATTTAATCCAGGCATTAATAACATTTCATTGGCAAACCAATGATTTCTGATCTTGCACAAGCCAAAATGAGTCATTATATAGTATGAATACATGATATATGAGACATGGTTGGTGCTTGTTCTCTGTGTCTGAAGTTACGCAACACAGGACAAGAACTGCTTGTAGTTGTTCTTAGCCTCCTCTGCGTAAGCACTAAACCCTCTAGAGGACACATAATCTACAATCTCTGCAGCAGTCTGTATTTTGTGAGTGTGTGTGTGTTTGTGTTTGGACTGTGGGAAATATATTTGTGTGTATTTAAGTGTTGATGTATTTGCGAGTGAAGCTTGAGAGGAGAGAGAAGATAGCTATAAACAGAAAAGGCTATCTTAACAAGTACTTCAGTATCACAAAATCACATTTTCCATAAAACTGAAGTGATTCACGTTTGTATAGTTTCTACAAACATAAACAAGACAGATAAAGAAAAATTAGTCTGTGAGTCTCCATGAAAAAATACTTGAATCATGAGAATTGATTAACCAAGTTGATTTTTGTCGAAGAGAAAGGAAAATGGATCATCTCTCCACCAGTGACAGATTTTTTCTTGTAGTGTGCATCTACTTGAAGCCAAAAGAATTTAAATGATGTGTGGGTTGTGAAGTCTGCTTCTTAATATGGTGAGGAACCGTGCTGCTGCTTTTGCCGGCCTAAGCCAGATCACACCTTCTCATCCATAATTTTTCCACTGACTCCTTCAGCATCATTCTTCTGAGCAACACTGCCAGAACTAGACCCACATCCTCACTGGCTTTCTGTCCTAGCTCTCAGCCATATAACACTCCACTGGGGTTGCTTTTCAGACCCTTAAATAATGCATGTAACCCTGCAGGGCAGAGAGGGAGGGTGAACCTATGCCTGTGTGTGCAGAGTACCAACATATACTATGTCTTCTAATGCTTACGAGACCTTTGTTTGCTGTTGAAGGATTGGCTGCTAAATCCCAGGGCTTTGCAGGGGCCTACTTTCACTCCCCTCCATTGTAAG